AGCCAATAACTCCTAATGAATTATTTTACAAATAATTCGAGTTATTGGCTGCTTCGCATCCAATAACTATATATTATCGTTCAGCATTGTATAACATCATTCTTATCCTTGAATAGGATACTAAGCGCCGAGATCATGGGATTAATGGTGTTTCCTCGGTAGAAAAATCATACGATTTACGACAATCTGATCTATAACTAGTTAGTAGTCAAATAGCTTTGAGTGTCACAATTAATATTCATAAGCACAAAATGGGTTGAAATTGTTTGATCAAGGGGTTCTCCTCTTTCAATTGTGTTTTTTTTTATAGAAAACGCTCAAAAAAATCTCGAAAACGCAAAAATTAAAAAAAAAACGTAATAATTATAAGAAAACATAAGACTTTTAATATTTTACGCTTAAAACAAAAAAAAAAACAAAAAAAAAATTCATTATGACCTTCGAACACCAGCCTACCGCCGCAGCTGAAAACGAAAGCGAAACCGACGAAGGAAATTCGGTCACTGACTCCAATAACATAGAAAATGATGAAAGCAACGAAGAAAGTTCCAATAACATAGAAAATGATGAAAGCAACGAAGAAAGTTCCAATAATGTAGAAAATGATGAACTTTCTGTTGAAAACAGCTCTTTTTTTGAAGGAACTACTTTCTTCGATATAGAAGGAGCCACAGTCTTTGAAGTAGAAGGTACTGCTGGTGGAAATGAAGCACCTATTGAAAATGAATTTTTGCTTGGCTGCGAATTTCCGGGCAGAAAAGATCCTATTCTCAAGCAATATTTAGGTGAAATAGTTTCATCGTTAGAACTCTTTCCATAAACTTTTTTTTTTGCTGAATTTTTCAATGGAAGTTGCAAAACTTCGTTTCTGCTTATATACATATGGCATAGAGTATTAATAATTGACCTCCCATAAATTTAATACAGTAATCTGGAACTATGGTATTTAATTTATAAGTGTTGCATTCCACATACAATTTTTTTTTTAATATTTTCAATATGGCGATTATTTGTATTAAGAATTATATATTTATTAATATAATAAAGTATCTATATTTGGTACGCATAATTGTTTGATCTTTTGTTTGTAAGATTCCTATTATAGTAAAAAAAAAAAAAAGCGTGAGTTTAAATTTTAATCCAAGGACAAGTCATCATTATATTAAGATTAGCGTTAATGCGATTATTTATGTATAACAATTTTATTTTTGTGGCAGTAAAGAAATAAGATTGAAGGACCAACGTGTAGGTAACCTGTTATATCTGTTATTTCTTGACAAGTTTTAACTAAATCTGGATAATTAACTAACTTTAAAAAATTTTAATTATGCTGATTGGATCGTACATATTTACAGTAGTTTATAATTACGTAAGAGACTTTACCGAATATATGTGTTTAACCTTTGGATAATTTACGTAATCATAAGATCTGGTTTATATTGTGCATTAAATTAATAATCTGCGTCAGATCAAAATAATTGTAATGAAACTCAGCTGATCTGACGTAAATTTCAAACTGATGTACTGTACAATTAATTTATATTTGATTCTCAAAATGGTTTAACAACATTCCTAGCCGAAATTTATCAAGCTAAATAATATATATCGAATTATATATCGTATTATCAGTTATACCATAGATAAGCACTGCCACTCAAACTGATTATTTAGCTTTTATATTAGTAGAAATCGAACAAACCTTTCAAAGTGAAAAATATATTAGGGGCGGTGCTTATTTATGATGGAATACTGTACGATAAAAAAAATTTTCAATTAAAGCTTGATAAATTGTATAGGTCCGCCGCAAACCTTTGATAGATCTTTTTTCGAAAAAAAAATTTTAGCGTTAATTGAGAAAGTCAAGTAAAAAAACCAGGTTCAATTTTGTTGAGTCAAATATTCTTCTGAAAAACGAAGAAAACAAAGGTACTTTAAAAACGTTCTCGGTTTCAGCTTCACATAAGACTCAAAGGAGTAATATTATAATTAAACGATTTAGAGATTTAGCTTTAACGAATTAATTACAGTAATCAAAAAAAAAGGAATGTTAGCCCATCGTGTCAGCATTAACTATCATTATTAAATTTTGGCCCAATTTGTTGTTAGATACTCCGCAGACTGTATTTTCTTTTCTTACGTACTCTTCTGGTCATTATTGTATGTTATTTGTTATCAATTATTTCAAAGGAAGGAGATCATCTCAAATTAACATTAGCGCCAATAATAAAATTTTTCAGCATTATAAAAATTTCTGGCCAAAGTTAAAGATCAGCATAAATTACATTATATAATACAGGCCAAAGTACCGTAGGTAAATACATGACATTCGATATATTAAAAATTCAATTATTAAACTTTAGTTCGATTAATGTTACGAGAACTGATAATGGGGGTTATTTTCTTTTGAATCATAAATAACGGTTTATTTTTATTTACTCCGAATTTAAAAAAAGTTAAGCGCAATTCAAGTTCTTATTAATTACGTAATCATGTGAATATGATCGAATTTATTTTGATTTACATATATGATATATCAAAAAAGGTATCCGATCAAACACCGGAATTTTTTTTCGTTTGTCAGTTATCAAACCAAGAGGTTCGGTCAGCCAAGGGCTAAATTGGCTTGGCTTCTTTGTGATTATAAAGCTTCAGCCCAATGGCTAAATTGGCTCATCTTTCTTTGTGATTATTGAGGAATTTTATGCCGTAAAATCCGCCAGTTACATATTTTTTTTTTATCCAGAAATGAAACAGTATCCTTCGACTTAATATTTCAACTTACTGTAACAGGTATTTTTTTTAGAATTTTTGCATTTAATTAAGATAAAAATTATGATTTCTAGACAAATATTAGAGATGTTAATCGATTCAACCTGCTTGTACATTTATTAGATTAATGAATAGAGTTAAATAAGGACATTCTTAATAAATTTCATTGGGTCTCTATATAAAAAATTTACAACTTTCGGGTATGAGTTTCTAAAGTTTCTAAATTCTGATAACTGATAACGTTAATAAAAAGTCGTAAAAAAAAGCCAGTAATATCAGGTTAAAATTTTGAGTACAACATATGTTGTGAGAACGTATTTCTGTATTTATCGTGCTTTTCAAATTACTGTGATCATCAGATTTCATACATCACACACACACGGGGATCTGGAAATCCGGGTCTTTTCAAGTTTTGATTGAAGAT